AGTGGTGTTACAAGCAGCTTTCTGATAAGAATTTCGACTACTGTCACAAAATATTGTTTGAATGGGTGGTACGACAACGATCCAAAACAGTATTGTTTATAGATGTTGTACAACTAAAACAAAGAGTTGTTTAAGATAAGACCAAAATAATAGTCTGAACATTATGCATACAACCCAACGTAATAGTTGTTTGAAGGAAATACTTATAGTGGTCTTCCGAGCAGCTGTCTGGTAGCAGATTCAACTACTGTTTGGAAGTATAGTGTCAATGTTTAAAGCACAACGAACATAAACTGGAGTGTTAATAGACGGCATACAACCAAAAAAAAAGTTGTTTAAGGTAAGACCAAAGAAATAGTCTCAACGTTGTACATACAACAGAGGGTAGCAGAGGTTTGATGGAATTACTTATAGTAGTCTTCCGAGCAGCTGTCTAATAGAACATTAGACTACACCTGGAAAACATAGTGTAACTGCATCAATCTCAACTACAATAAACCATTGTCGTAATAGTCTATGTACAACTAATTAAGACAGTTGTTTTTAAGAAGTTGTCTGAACTTCTATATACAACACAATAAAACTATTGTCTGAGTATATCCAAAATCGTAGACTCAATCGCGAGCAGACAACAAATGTTCAAAGTTGTGTTAAGCTTCAAAACACCGTTGTCAGATTTTGATTTGCACAATTGTTCTAAACCGAGGTCTAACATCCCATCAGACAGCTGCTCGGAAGACTACTGAAAACATCAATTATAGACTACTAAAATAAACAGTTGTCAGCCTCTGTTTTTGACGTAGTGAATGGAACTCATTGATTAGTTGGATATCTCATAAAAACATGTATTTTCACTGTATTCTTTTAAGGGTAATGGAAACTCTTTGGACATTGGTGAATGAGTGTCATGACCACCGCCATCATCATCTTCTAGTTATTTTAATTTCCATGTAGAATACCTACATCATTTGAAATCTTGTAGATGGTCATCACTGATTTCATCTTCAACAAGAGTTGGTACTTTTGTCGGAAGATTCAACTTGAGGCTTAGGGAATCATCTATGGGAGTAAGAACTTAATCAACTGCTTTGTTGATATCCTTCATGGTTTAATCTTCAGTAAAGAAACTATCTCAACTATCATAGAACTTATAGCCGAATTCATCTTGACCTTAATTAGTCGATAAACACACAATGTTGTGTCTTCACGTGAAGCTAATTTTGTCTTTCTTCCTTTCAAACACAAACAAAATCTTTTCACCCAAATACTCGCAAATGTTCATAAGAAACATTCTTATTTAACCCAACATTCTTTCAGAACTTTATGCTAAACACGAAAATATGTTGGAAATCTGGGAGAAGTGGTAATGATGCGTAGCGACATTACAAGGATCGATATGCAAACAAACATGAAGAAACATGATAACCTACATGTTTTTCTTGATCGCTTTCAAATTATGATTATTTCGAGGTTTACCAAATTATTTCAATCGGAAAAGACGTCACTATCTAGAACGAGTACGAAAGTTTTGTCTCTCAAACATACCCTAGGGCTCCATATATATTTACAACAAAAATGATGGGACGGGTCTATTGACAAAACAACATGACTTTATGTAAAACATTTGACTGTTTGGCCAGAACATTCGAATTATGCAGAAGTTATTGTTAAACATTATGTTTCAGTGGCTTTCTACATGAAATGTTCAAATGTTTAAGAGTAAGCATTCGAATTATGTGTTCATTCACAAAGGATACTAAAAGTTAAAGCAAACATTCCAATGTGTATTACTTACATTCAAATGTTTTCTTATTTTGGCCTCATTTACAAAAGTCTAAAGAAATATTAGAAAATCAATTGGAAAAACAAAATTTACCTCAAATAATTGTGCCTTTCATTTTGTGTGAAATAATGTTAGGAATGGAAGGGAGCTATTCATGGAAGGTGAATATATTTGCATGGCAATGCATGATTTACGGACAGAGGAGCAAAATCTTGGGGATTGGAATATTATTTTGTTAAGTATTATATTTAAGGTAAAAGTATATTTGGAATGTAATAGTCAGTAGCTACCATGTAGTATATATGTATATACGGCCATTGTGTAACCGATGAGAAGAAATAAACAAAATTATTCCAAAACTCTTTTGATCCTATCATGGTATCGGAGCCTTAGGGTTCATCATTTGTTTTTTTCTGTCGACCTTACTGAGGAATCGCAGGCGGCATGTCTTCAGTAGAGCCAGTCGCGGCAAACAAGAACAAAATTTCGGAATATGTTCCACAAAGACGTAAGATCTCGCTGTACGATCTTCATGCAAATGACAATTCTAGATTGATCATTACACAGGTTGTCTTGAGAGGAGACAACTACGAAGAATGGGCACGCGCTATTCGCACTACTCTTCAAGCACGCAAAAAGTTCGGCTTCGTGGAGGGATCAATTCCACAACCACCGGAGGGTTCCGGTGATCTTGAAGATTGGTTGACGAATAACTCTCTAATCGATTCATGGATACGAAACAAAATTGAATCATCTCTCCGCACCACTATTTCTCATATGGAGATGGCGAGCGAATTATGGGAAGATATCAAGGCACAATTTTCCGTTGTAAACGTACCACAGATACAACAAATCAAGCGTGAATTAATGACTTGTGATCAACGTGGGTTGAGCATCGCCTCCTATTACGGGAAGTTGAAGAAATTATAGGATGATCTAAACGATATTGACTCCTTTCCCATATGTACGTGTGGGAAGTGTACCTGGAACATCGCTCAACAGTTGGAAAAAAGGCGGGATGAAGAAAAGGTACATCAATTTTTGATGGGTCTTGATGATGCCGTTTATGGACACCTCCGCTCCATGATTTTATCTCAAGAGCCTTTTCCTACTACCGAGTGTGTATATCGTCTCTTGACTCAGGAAGAGACTGCCCGACATCCCACATTCGCGACCGTCTAGAAAATGCAGCATTCTCAGTTCGAGGTCCATCATTCGCAGATTCCTCTCATGACAAAAATATCATGTGCAGCTACTGTAAAAAAATAGGCCATGACAAAGACTCTTGCTTCCAATTGCATGGTTATCCAGAAGGGTGGGGAACTCGCGGTCGTGGCGGCAGTAGTTGTGGGCGTGGAAGAGGACATGCACAGTATGGGGGTCGTGGCACACTTGCAGCACATAATGTAATTGCAGCCACCAATGCTACTACCGTAGCCAATTCCACAAAGGAGCCTGCTGCTACTGACATGGTATCTTCACTCACGGCCGACCAATGGGACTCATTCCGAGCACTTCTTGCTTCGGTCAAAGATGGGTCCGTCGAAAAGCTTTCAGGTATTCGTCTTACTAAAACATGTATTATTGACACCGGCGCTACAAATCATATGACTGGAGATTATAGTAGTCTAATTGATACACATGCCATCTCCGGCTGTTGGATTCGCTTGCTAGATGCCAAACGGGTTGCCACTACCACCGCAGGAAGCATCCGTTTGAATAAGTTTGTGAAATTGCATGGGGTATTATTTGTGCCTGATTTGAATTGCTCTATGCTCTCGGTATCTCAGTTGATTAAAGAGACTAATTGGTTGGTTAAATTCGATGGCGGATTATGTGTGTTACAGGACCGTATCACGACACGGGTGATTGGTGCGGGTAGATTGTGTGACGATGGGCTGTATTACTTTCAATAAATAGTGGATGGGAGTGCATTGACAATAATCACGGAATGTTCCTTCGATCTTTGGCATCGACGATTAGGCCATCCATCTTCTGAAGTTTTATCCTTATTCCCCTAAGCAAATAATAGTGGAGCTAATATTTTGAATAAAGAACCATGTTCTATTTGTTTACGTGCCAAACAATCACGTGCCAGTTTTCCGTTGAGTAATAATAAGTCTACTCATTTGTTTGAGCTCGTGCATATTGACGTATGGGGTCCTTATCGAACACCAAGTATGGATGGATTTAAATCTTTTCTTACCATCGTTGATGATTACTCTCGGGGTACTTGGGTCTATCTGATGCGTGCAAAATCTGAGGTTCCTATGATTTTTTGTCAATTTTGTGCTATGGTTTCTCATCAATTTGATGTGAAACTAAAAAAGGTACGTAGTGATAATGGGACAGAATTTGAGTGTCTCAATCCATACTTTCGTGAACAAGGCATATTACACGAATGCTCATGTCGAGCCACTCCTCAACAAAATGGCCGGGTTGAGCGCAAACACCAACATATCTTAAATGTTGCTCGCGCTCTTCGCTTTCAAAGCTTCTTGCCAATTGAATTTTGGGGTGAATGCATCCTTACTGCAACTTATCTCATAAATCATACTCCTTCCTCTTTACTAAATGCGAAAACACCATATGAAATAATGTTTGGACGAATTCCTGAGTTTTCCCACATACGGGTTTTTGGTTGTTTGTGCTATGTTCATAATCAGGAACGCCACGGTGACAAATTTGCTACCCATAGCACCACGGGAGTATTCGTAGGCTATCCTTTTGAGAAAAAGGGATGGCGCATATATTGTCGCGACACAGGAAAATTCCTTGTTTCTCGTGATGTAATTTTTTTTGAGAATATTTTTCCATTTCAGGAAAACACTATTAGTCCGGATTTAATCCCTGCACTAGAATTTTCTTATGTTGATGATGATGTAGATCCAAGGCATAGAGAGCAGACCCAGGGGCTTTCGGCCACTGTTCCTATTTCGGTTCCAATAAATATATCATCAAGGGAGGAAAATACTCATGAAGGAAATACTTCTAGTGCACATGGCAGTGCTCATGACATGCTGCCATCATTCCATAATGCACCCTCATCATCCCATGATGCGCCGAAAATAAGAGAAGAGGACCAACCGTCAGATTCTGCTGCTTCTTGTGTGGATACTAATTTACTGGGTCGTGGTCTTCGTCAGGAAACGAGTAGTGTCCGACTTCGAGACTTTGTCACATACACAGTGGCCAAAGACACCACTATCTGTTAGTACCCCTTAACTGACTATATTGGCTATACTCGTTTCTCATATCATCATAGAGCATATCTCAGCGAAGTTGACTCTAGCGTGGAACCACAGACTTATCACGACGCGATGAAATCACTTTCATGGCGTAAAGCAATGGCTGAGGAGATCAATGCCTTAGAAAACAACGATACATAGTGCCTTGTTCCCCTCCCTCGTCACAAAAAGGCATTGGAATGTAAGTGGGTCTACCAGATCAAGAGGAAATCTGATGGCTCTATTGAGCGCTTCAAAGCGCGGCTTGTCGTCCATGGAAATAGGCAAGTAGAAGGCATTGATTATAATGAGACTTTTGCTCTAGTGGTTAAGCTCACCACCGTTCGTGTTTTGTTGGCGGCGGCCGCGATGCGAAATTGGGAGCTCCATCAGATGGATGTTCACAATGCTTTTCTTCATGGTGACCTGTCGGACGACGTATATATGAAGCTTCTGCCAGGTTTTCGGCCTCAAGCTCCCAATATGGTGTGCAAGTTACAAAAGTCTCTTTACGGCCTTAAACAAGCTCCTCGTTGTTGGTTTGCTAAACTTTCCAGTGCCTTGCGACGATACGGATTTACTCGGTCTCATTCGGACTATTCTTTATTTTCATTGAGTCGTGCTAGTTCTATTGTTCATGTTTTGGTCTACGTAGATAATTTGGTTATTGCTAGAGATGATCCTTCTGAAATTATGCGGTTTAAGACATACTTATCCGATTGCTTCCACATGAAAGATTTGGGCACGTTGAAATATTTTCTTGGTATAGAGGTAGCCCGGGATACTACATGCATTTTTCTTAGTCAGCGAAAATATGCACCTGATATTATTAAAGAAACGGGTTTGCTTGGGTGTTGTCCACCGAGTGCTCCGTTATATCCTAATCATAAACTTGCCTTAGCCTCTGGCCCACTTCTTGTTGACCCTTCTTCCTACCGGCGTTTAGTTGGTCGGTTGGTGTATCTGTGTGTCACTCGTCCAAATCTTTCTTACACAGTTCACACTTTGGCACAATTTCTTCAAGAACCCCGGATAGATCACTGGAATGCAGCGCTAGCTGTCGTGCGCTATCTCAAAAGCACCCCAGGGCACGGTATTCTCCTCCGTTGAGACACCTCCCTTCAGCTCACTGGATGGTGTGATTCTAATTGGGAGGGTTGTCCATTGACTCGTCGCTCTTTAACTGGATGATTTGTCCAGTTAGGTGTTTCTCCAGTGTCATGGAAAACTAAGAAACAACCTACTGTGGCAAGATCTTCTGCTGAAGCTGAGTATCGCTCAATGGTTGTTCTGACTTGTGAGCTCAAATCGCTTCATGGTTTGTTGTGCTTCCTCAGCGTGCCACATCCTACTCCGATGAAGATTTATTGTGACAGTATGGCAGCTCTCCACATCGCTGCGAATCCCGTCTTTCACGAGCGTACTAAGCATATTAAGATTGATTGTCACTTTATTCGTGATGAATTGTTACGTGGTTCTATATGTACAGCCCATGTCTCTACTCATAATCAATGTGCTGATATTCTTACGAAGCCGTTAGGAAAGGGCCGATTTGATTTTTTACTTCCCAAGTTGGGCATTTGTTTGTTACATGCTCCAACTTGAGGGGGAGTGTTAGGAATGGAAGGGAGCTATTCATGGAAGGTGAAAATATTTGCATGGAAATGCATGATTTATGGACAGAGGAGCAAAATCTTGGGGATTGGAATATTATTTTGTTAAGTATTATATTTAAGGTAAAAGTATAATTGGAATGTAATAGTCAGTAGCTACCATGTAGTATATATGTATATACGGCCATTGTGTAACCAATGAGAAGAAATAAACAAAATTATTCCAAAACTCTTTTGATCTTATCAAATAAACCATTTCTTTTAAAATCATTAAGTGGTAGTAAGGTCACTAACAGTTAACCAGAATGTGCACACACCAGTAAAGATGCACTATTATGCATCAGAATGAAAGATAACATTATTTTTGGAAGATGTGTTAAAAGTGAGATTATTTCAGATAATTTTTCAAAAATAGAATGGCAAAAATGATATGTAATGCTAACACACAATACTAAGTGGGGTGTATTCAGTTTAGATTTTAAAAGATTTTGATAGATTTTTAAACTCCGTACATTTACATAGATTATGTTAAATCCATTGATTATTCTAATTCAATGCAAAGTTTAATAGATTTTATAAGCCCGATTTTGTGAGTTTTCTTAAAAACTGCAGATTGTCAAATGCATCTTCTTCTTTTAAGTCAATATCAGAGGAGGAATTGTTTTTCAAATCAAAGCTATTGGATGTAAATTTGGAATTTCAGTTTACTTCATGAAAGAAAAGGTCTCCAGAGCATATATGAGACAATTTAATTACTTGTCCAAAATTGGCTAGACTGCCACCAGTAGAAATCACCATATTTGAGGGCTTCAAAGTTTTAGACGATGGAATTCCAGTGATAAGCATTGATAGAATCAGAACTATCTAGCGCTGACAAGTATCCTGATTCCATGGAGAACTCTGTGTTAAAATCTTTGGACGTCGCCCAAGATTTGTTAGTCAATTTTCTTTTCGAAAATAGCCATCAAATACATCAAAAATCATGTAAAATAAAATTCTTCCAAAATCTATGATTTATTTAAAACCATTAGATTTTAAAAGATTTTTTAAATTATAAATTGATTACATTGAGATTTAAAATGAATTTTTAAAATTTAAAATGAATACATTGAGATTTAAAATGATTTTTTTAATCTCAATTGAATACGTACTATTTTTAAAATCTAAAAACATTTGTTAAATATTGATTAAATACACTTATTTAGAGAATAAAAAATACTCCCTTTGTCCTTTGTTAATTGTCCCTTTTCGATATATATATATATATATATATATATATATATATATATATATATATATATGTATGTATGTATGTATGTATGTATGTATGTATGTATGTATGTATGTATGTATGTATGTATGTATGTATGTATGTATGTATGTATGTATATGTATATGTATATATATATATATATGTATATGTATATGTATATGTATATATATCTATGTATGTATGTATGTATATGTGTGTGTATATATATATATATATATATATATATGGAGCGTCTAAAATGACACGAGTTCTTTATACATCAGTTGCTTACACCAGTTCGTTTGGGTACCTACTGTGCTCCGTTTGTAAAAACGAC